ATATATATATATACATATATATATATATACATATATATATATACATATATATATATACATATATATATATATACATATATATGTATATATAAGTGGAGAATTCCCCATAGATTTCTCATTTATTAATAACATTGTCCCAAAGAGACCTCTACAGAGGCTTCTACAGTAAATCTAAGGATGAGTCTTTTGCAACTTTTTGTCTCATGAAAGGGTCTAATGTATAAAAGTATGCATACTGCAACAATAAAAACTTGAGGTACTCCTCCAGAGTAGTACAGAAGTTGAAAAGACCCTGCACAGATTCCCAATTGTTGCAGCTTTTTTCGCACTCACTGCCTTTCCTCAGGAAACCCTTTAGGGTGAGGGGGGGGTTGGTATGTATTTATTTAAAGCTGGAGCTACTGAATAGGAAGTAGGAAGGCCATCCATGTAGCAGAACGCTACCAAAAACCTCCCTGGTCCATGTACTGAACATGACAGACACAAAAACATGAGAATAAAATGCGGTTTCTTCCTTAAGAGCAAGTGAATGCGAGACGTCAACGAGGACGGGCAACAAAAAGTGTCGCTAATGTCAAACACAACGTCTTCACTGATATCATACTGGTAAAAGCTCCAAACTGTTTCTCAAAGACTGGGTCGCGACCCTCGGGTGGGTCAAAAGAGATTTGCAAACGTTCGGGGACGTGCAGTCAAAAAAAAAAAAAAAAAGACTTTTTCACAACTACCCACCTAGAATAGTCAAGATGCAGAGAAGGATCGCTAGCAAGGCCTGGACGCTGACAGACGTTCTCTGAGCGCTAGCCTTGCACTTCGTGGGCATCCGACCGACTCCGCAGCTGCACGTCTACATTTGACAACAAAGCACAGGCGCGGGGTCAATACTCAGTTCGCCCTCTGTCCTTACACACAAATACACAACCAGAGCCAGACCTTGATGGCCAGTGTGATGAGGCTCGTCTGAATAGGTGTGCCTCCGTCACTGACGCGCACGTCCACGGTGTAATCATTCACATCGTCCAGGCTGAACGGTCCCTGCTTCACCAGGACTTCAGCTGTGTTATCTGGAAAAGTCATAAAGAGCTTTTTGAGCCTGCATCAAAAACACGGAAACAACAAATATCTCCAAGGCCGAGTGCACAAAACAAAGACTCACTGCCAAAGTCTCGGATGGAGAAATTGGAGTTTTCATTGTCCAGGTCAAAGGTGAAGGAAACTGGCTGGTCGTCTTTATCGGTGGCCCTCAGCGTAGCTATAACCTTCAGAGAAACACAAGCGTTGGATCATTGGCGAGCCTCGGTCAGGTCCGTTGTTCATATTCCGAGCAGGGCTTTCTTACTGTATTAGGGGCGTCCGTCTCACACACGTAGATCTCTTCTACGTCCAGTTCAGGTGCGTTGTCGTTAATGTCCTGGACTAAAATCTTAACTGTGACAAAGGACTCCAGACCTACAGAGGACAGACGGTAGTACAGGCTTAACAGTTGGAGTGCAATATAATGATATATGGATGGATGATGGATGGATGGATGATGGATGATGGATGATGGATGATGGATGAATGATGGATGGATGAATGATGGATGATGGATGGATGGATGGATAGATGGATGGAATGATGGGTGATGGATGGATGGATGATGGATGATGGATGATGGATAGATGGATGATGGATGATGGATAGATGGATAGATGGACAGATGGATGGATGATGGATGGATGATGGATAGATGGATGATGGATGATGGATAGATGGATGATGGATGATGGATGATGGATGATGGATGATGGATGATGGATGATGGGTGGATGGATAGATGGATGGAATGATGGGTGATGGATGATAGATGGATGGATGGATGATGGATGATGGATGATGGATAGATGGATAGATGGACAGATGGATGGATGATGGATGGATGATGGATAGATGGATGATGGATGATGGATAGATGGATGGAATGATGGGTGATGGATGGATGGATGGATGATAGATGGATGGATGGAGGGATGATGATGGATAAAGGGATGGACAGAGGATAGATGGATGGAATGATGGATGATGGATAGATGGTTAGATGGATGATGGATGATGGATGATGGATGATGGATGATGGATGATAGATGGATGGATGATAGATGGATGGATGATAGATGGATGGATGGGGGGATGACAGAGGATAGATGAATGGATAGACGGACGGAGGATGGATGGATGGATGATGGATGATGGATGACCCACCACTTGGCTCCTCCTGTGCCTTGACCTGACAGATGTGTGTGTCCTCCAGTTCCCTGTCCAAGGTCCTGAGGGTGAACAGTTGCCCTGTCAGAGGGTTGACACCAATAGGACAGCCCTTGTCCAAAATGGAGTACCTGCAGGTAAATAAAAACGGAAGCGAGGATTCCTTAATGACTCAGAAGCAGAATAACAAACGGAAGCGAGGATTCCTTAATGACTCGGCAGAATAACGAACAGTTCTGGTTCCTCAAAAGCAGACAGTTCTAATCACTGTACCTAATCCTATTTTTAGCTTGGTCTGGATCCACAGCCTTCACATCTCCTATGTTGACCATGCGCTCCTCCTCCACACTGAAGGTGTAGGTGGGCTGGGAGAAGACTGGGGGCTCGTCCACGTCCTGCACTTGGATGTTTATCTGTCATTGTTGTTGGAACAGCAGCAAAGAAACGTCACGGATATAAAATGATACGACTGAAAACGTATTGGAAATCTTCGTGGGTAAAGGTCAAGGTAGGATTCCTTAGCACGTTACACGTTACGTGTGTGTATTTGAGACAAACATCTCATTAGTATTACTGCAGTACAACGCCGTATTTCTTACGACAAACATGTTCTTAACAGATACTGTTTCAGACTTTAGTTTTAGACACAGAAAAAGTATGAACCTGTCAGTCAGACTTTAGTTTTAGACACAGAAAAAGTATGGACCTGTCAGATTAGATCAGATTAGATAAAATTAGATTAGATTAGATTAGATTAGATTAGATTAGATTAGATTAGATTAGATTAGATTAGATTAGATTAGATTAGATTAGATTAGATTAGATTAGATTAGAGTAAAGTAGAGTAAAATAGAGTAGATGAGATTAGAGTAGATTAGAGCAGAGTAGAGTAGATTAGATTAGACTGAATTGGATTATACTTGATTGGATTACATTAATTGGATTACATTAGATCAAATTAGATTAGATTAGACCGGATTAGAGTAGAGTATACTGGATTGGATTAGATTAGATTAGATTAGATTAAATTAGGTTAGATTAGACTGGATTGGATTATATTGGATTGTATTATATTAGATTAGATTAGATTAGATTTGATTCAATTAGATTAGACTGGATTGGATTATATTGGATTGTATTATATTAGATTAGATTAGATTAAATTAGGTTAGATTAGACTGGATTAGATTAGAGTAGATTAGATTGGATTACAGTCGATTAGATTAGACTGGATTAGATTAGAGTAGATTAGAGCCGAGTAGAGTAGAGTAGATTAGACTGGATTGGATTATATAGGATTGGAATAGGTTAGGTTAGATTAGATTAGATTAGATTAGATTAGATTAGATTAGATTAGATTAGATTAGATTAGATTAGATTAGATTAGATTAGATTAGATTAGATTAGATTAGATTAGATTAGATTAGATTAGATTAGATTAGATTAGATTAGATTAGATTAGATTAGATTAGATTAGATTAGATTAGATTAGATTAGATTAGATTAGATTAGATTAGATTAGATTAGATTAGATTAGATTAGATTAGATTAGATTAGATTAGATTAGATTAGATTAGATTAGATTAGATTAGATTAGATTAGATTAGATTAGATTAGATTAGATTAGATTAGATTAGATTAGATTAGATTAGATTAGATTAGATTAGATTAGATTAGATTAGATTAGATTAGATTAGATTAGATTAGATTAGATTAGATTAGATTAGATTAGATTAGATTAGATTAGATTAGATTAGATTAGATTAAGGGAGACATTGTGGCCAACAAGCGTCAAACTCAGGCTCGGGGGCCAAATCTGGCCCGAAGTGTCATTATATTTGGCCCGCGGGATCATATCGAATATGCATATATCTGACTGTGATGTTATTACAGACGTCTATGTGAACCCCAACAACAGAACGACCTCACCACAATCAAAGGAAAAACCAATCACAGCACCGACCTGTCAAACTGTTTATTTCAAATGCAGAGAGGTCTCCATCGTCTGTCAACGAATACCTAAGGTCACCGTTGGCAGTGGTGGGATCGTCAGCGTCAGTGGCCTGCACCTGAACCACCTTGGTTCCTAGACAAATTCAAATTACAGATGAGTCACAATGCATGTTGACATAGCAAACGTTATGATGGTTTTTGACCAAAAGGTCTATCTATCTATCATCCATCCATCCATCTATCTATTTATCCATCCCTCCATCCATTTATCTATTTATCCATCCATCCATCTATCCATCCATCCATATATCTATCTATCTATCCATCCATCCATTTATCCATCCCTCCATCCATCCATCGGTCAAAATCTGGCCCGAAGTGTCATTATATTTGGCCCGCGGGATCATATCGAATATGCATATATCTGACTGTGATGTTATTACAGACGTCTATGTGAACCCCAACCTCACCACAATCAAAGGAAAAACCAATCACGGCACCGACCTGTCTCACTGTTTATTTCAAATGCAGAGAGGTCTCCATCGTCTGTCAACGAATACCTAAGGTCACCGTTGGCAGTGGTGGGATCGTCAGCGTCAGTGGCCTGCACCTGAACCACCTTGGTTCCTAGACAAATTCAAATTACAGATGAGTCACAATGCATGTTGACATAGCAAACGTTATGATGGTTTTTGACCAAAAGGTCTATCTATCTATCATCCATCCATCCATCTATCTATTTATCCATCCCTCCATCCATTTATCTATTTATCCATCCATCCATCTATCCATCCATCCATATATCTATCTATCTATCCATCCATCCATTTATCCATCCCTCCATCCATCCATCTATCTATCTATCTATCCATCCATCCATCCATCCATCCATCCATCTATCCATCCATCCATCCACCCATCCATCTATCATCCATCCATCCATATATCCATCCATCCATCTATCCATCCATCCACCCATCCATCTATCCATCCATACTTTAAAAGTTAACAAAACCTTATGTTTGTATTGATACATGTTAGTTCATTTAGTTAGTCATCTACCAAAATCAATCAATATGTGACTTAAATGCGATTAATTGTGATCAATTAATTACAAAATGGTGGGTTTTCTAATCACGTCCCACCACTAATTACTACTCCTACTACTACCAAAGGTTACAAAGACTCACCCGGAGAAGACCTCTCCATGACAGATCCATTGAATGTTTTGGCGAACACTGGGAGGTTGTCGTTGATATCCGTCACATGGACAATAAATTCTCCGGACCTTTCTATCAACATGTTGTTGCGGTCAAACATCTTGGCAGTCAAACGGTACGAATTCTTCTCCTCTCTGTCCAGAGTTTTGGTGACAAACAGGTCTCCTTCCAGATCCACAGTGAAAATACTATTTGCTCCTTCCCCCGAAATCTCGTATCGCCTTCCATCAACCTTTCTGCTAGACTCCAACTGTCGGGGAAAAGCAGTAGAAATTGAATTTGTTAACACAAATTAATGAAAGTATGGAGTATAGGTCGCACCAGCCAGCTAGAGTGCCCTCTAGTGGCTGTCAGTGTGACAACAACGAACATGTACATTTTCAGTGGTACAGGAGTAGCAGATACCGGTACAGAAGCCTAGAGTGCCCTCTAGTGGTTGTCAATGTGAAAATAACAAACAAGTGAAATTGTACATATTAATATATAAGTCGCAAACAAAGCCAAAGGATGAAAAGAATACGGAAAATGCTGTCCTTTTTGTCCAAAGTACAAAAAGTTTAACCAAGTAGAATGTACAATATCTTAAGAGTATTTATAAAGGCTTACAACCTCAGACTAGTTACGTTAATGTAGACCTCAGTATGTTTTCTTAGCTAACCTCGCTAACCAGCCGTCATATCAGTCAGAGTGACACTGTCATGATCCGTGTTTTCCTGTCTGTTGGCACAACCTTAAATCCTGAACCAGAATCCTCAAGAGGATCCCGATCTTTTAGAGCTCAACACACCTGTCCGATCTTATAGGCAGTCGGCGTAGGCTTTTCCTCCTCCACGAAGAGCTTGTTCCAGATCCACTCTCTCTTTTGTCTGAACAGGACAGAGTGAGAGTTCCTCACAAATACAAGTTCTCCCGGTTTCTCTCCTTCCACAACGGCGAGATCGGCAGCGGCGAGTGTGAGCGACGAGGCCACCGTAGCCAAGAACACCACGGTTTGACTCGAGAGCCAAGCCATTATCTGTGGGAAAACACGTTCAAAAAGACATGGGGTCAAAAGGACAATTGAAGCGATGGGAATTAGAGGGAGGGGCCACAGATGAGAGAGAAAACGAACTGAAAAACTTTTCTTATCTTCAACTAACATGAGGAACAAAAGCTATGAAGCCGTTTCAAAATAGGCTTCAGTTTAAAAGCATATCACCACACGAAGAACCTGGGTCTATAACATTGGTGTCAAACATAAGGCCCGCGGGACGAAACCGGACCGTATAAGGGCCGCGGGACAAAACCGGCCCGTTGGGGGGGTTCAATCTGGTCCGCTTGATGAATTTTGAAAATCAAAAAATACACAAACATTTCATGTTCAGGATTTTTTTTTCAGAATGAATAACTCTAAAAGGTTAAACGTTTTAACAGAGGTTTCAATGATATTTGGATACATTTTTTTTTTATCTGATCGTGATATTTAGTTATGAGACAATATGAGAAATCTCATTTTTGCTCCGAGTTCATACAAAGATTTTCAATTTTGTTGATCAAAACGTACACTTTACTGTAGATTAAATTCAAAAACAATACATGATATACGTGATTGAATTTTTGTTTTTCCACATGCTCACAGAGTTCAAGTGTTATATATCACTAATAATTGTGATAAATCACAGACAGACATAGAGACCTACTTTAAATAATGACCTACTTTGGACCTTTTGTGTCAGAGAAGTGTGATAAATGAATCTCAGACTGTGCCTTTTCCTTTCTGACGTCTACTGCAACAAACGGTGCGTACCACGTACCGAGTTCCTGATGACAACATCCCGTGTCTCATTTCCCTACGTAAACATACAAAGAGCAGCAGCTGCGTTGACAAACAACGTTTTTTTTTTTTTTTTTTTCCAAAGGGTTCTTTCTTCTTCAGATGCCATCATCTTATCCCGCCCCATTTATCAGCAACAGGAAGTCCCAACACGGTGTCTGCTGGGATGGTTTAATGAGAGCTCATCATTACTCCGAGGACACGCCCTTCCTGTGGGTCAGTGCCGTTAGATGAATTCGTCCCTGTGACTCACTCTGTGTCACTGACTGTAGGTGCTTTATCTGTTTCTCCGTGTTTTCTGTTCACTTTGTGTTTCCGTGTCCTGCTCTACAATCAACCTAACACCTGTTAGTCCAGTAAACCACGGATATTCAGGACTGATGTCATAGGTTTGTGCTTCATTTCTGTCCGTCCAATGAGAACTCTTTGTTTGTTACAGAGTTTTAAGAACAAAGGTGAAGGGCAAAGGTGGATTGACCGCAAAGGATTAATGATACATTCCCATAAAAGATTATTTTTATAAATAACAATATGAATAATAACAAAATAAATAACAAAAAAAATCCATATTTGAAGCAGAAATAACAAACAAAAAAACATATTATACGCAGATACTTTTCAGGTATTTTATTTTATTTTATTTTATTTTATTTTATTTTATTTTATTTTATTTTATTTTATTTTATTTTATAGTCAATCAATCAGTCAAAAATTTGCTGCCTGTAAAACTTCTGGTTGTATTTTTAAGGTAGAAACGAAAAATGTTTTACTTCAGAGTTAAGGTGAAATATTTCCAAGACTTAATGAAGTTTAAATATTTAGGCTATTATTTATTTTATTTATTTTATAAGTTTTATTAAGTTTTGCTTCACTCTTGAAATTATAATTTTACCTACATTTCAGGTTACTTTTGACATTTAATTTCATTTTGTAATATTTTTAAACACATTTCACAACATATTGAAAGATTAAAAAAAAAAAAACTTACCACAACAAAGTGACCGCTGACCACAGGTAATCCTCAGTAACAAAATCCTAAGAGGCGTCTTCCTGTGTTGGTCCTGCTGTATTTGACAGGCTGTAGTTGGAACCGACCGCTGAAAAGCGGTTTGGAAACCACTTGTAGGATGTTCGTGCTGGACTTTGATTTGAATCTTCTTCAGGTCAACTCCTTTCGTTTACTGTGGAATAACCACTGAAGCCTGATGTGGATTTTCGTCTTTCCAGATTTCCTCTCTGGACCTGAGCAGCAAGTCTGACAATCTCTTGAAAAATAAAACTTAATTTTTAAATTATTATTAATTCCCTTGTTCTTTAAAGAAGGTCAAAACCCCAGAAACTCCAACTCTTTTTTTTTTTTTTGTTATTCCATCCCTGGTCAAGGGCGTCAGGTGGTTTCACTTGGATACAATTTTTTTTCCAGTCCTACGCTTTTCTTCAAATTTCCATTTACCTTTATGTCCAGTTGGTGAAAATGTTAGATGGTGGAAGAACACGGCCCCCTGTCTTGTACAGGTCACCGCCCACTTCCTCTTCCTGTAATTGTGTTACGTATCCCTTCCTGGTGCTACCATTTCTTTTCCTGCAGCGATAAGAGACACATTAAGTTTAAAAAAAAAAAACGCACCAAAACAGAGTTTAAAAAAAAATTCTTTGATAAAGTCAGAGAAAGAAGTCGAACACACATGGATCTGGAAAAGTGGGGGCGATGGAGAGTTAGGTGAGAGGAGACTAACTACTCACTGTCTGATGATTTGTGGATTGACTTAGTCTGGAACTTCCAAAATTTGTTTCAAAATTATATATATTTCTATATGATTGGCCATTGCACAAAATCCCATACAAATTTGTTGGAGCTACGCCTAATGTTCTCTGGATCGTTACAATTTTAATATATTTGTTGCTGTATATCACAAACTCAGGCCCGGGGGCCAAATCTGGCCCGCGGTGTAATTATATTTGGCCCGCAAGATCATTTCAAATGAGTACTAGCATAAAGCCCCTAAATACTGGCAGGATTTGTAGCATTAGTGGTGTATGCGCTATGTTATAGCACATACATTCGTGTGATTATTTTTGGCCCGCAAGATCATTTCAAATGAGTACTAGCATAAAGCCCCTAAATACTGGCAGGATTTGTAGCATTAGTGGTGTATGCGCTATGTTATAGCACATACATTCGTTACACATACATTCGTTATTGGCGCACAGGTAGAGAAGAAGCGGAGTGACTTTTTAGCCAATCAGAATGCAGAACACAATGCACGATGCAAATCCGTGAAGTAGCGAAACCGTAAAAAGTAAAGACAGCTAATGAGAAAAGATAGCATACAATTATTAGGTAAAACTGATCAACGTGACTTAACTGAACATTGTCTTTCAACTGGCTTGACCTGCCCAAAGGAAACTTACTTAGGACTCACTTTAGACTTACAATTTTGAAAAGAACAATAATTAGTTAAAACTATATTTTTATCAGTAACCGCAAGATCATTTCAAATGAGTACTAGCATAAAGCCCCTAAATACTGGCAGGATTTGTAGCATTAGTGGTGTATGCGCTATGTTATAGCACATACATTCGTTATTGGCGCACAGGTAGAGAAGAAGCGGAGTGACTTTTTAGCCAATCAGAATGCAGAACACAATGCACGATGCAAATCCGTGAAGTAGCGAAACCGTAAAAAGTAAAGACAGCTAATGAGAAAAGATAGCATACAATTATTAGGTAAAACTGATGAACGTGACTTAACTGAACATTGTCTTTCACCTGGCTTGACCTGCCCAAAGGAAACTTACTTAGGACTCACTTTAGACTTACAATTTAGAAAAGAACAATAATTAGTTAAAACTATATTTTTATCAGTAATTTTCTCTATATATATTCCCCACCTGAATTCCAGGTTTGCTACTCCAAGGTTAAAAAAAACACCACTCTCTTAAGTCCTTCTTTACAATTTGATTCCACCTGCTTTACCGCCCTCTAGCGAGAGAAGAGAGTAATTAATCATGTTGATTAGACATTTGGGTTGTAACTATACAGGGAAGCCAAACTGCAAATATACATATGTATATATGCTTATACATATTTATATGTTTATATATTTATATAGTGTGTGTATATATATGTTTTTATATATATACAGTGTGTGTATGTGTGTATATATATACATATATACAGTGTGTGTATTTGTGTATATATACAGTATATTTACATATATACATATATAAATATATGTATATACTGTATGCTATATACTATATGTATATACACATCTATATATATATATATACACACACATATATATACATATATATATATAAATATATAGAACATGTATAGATATGGGTAAAATGACTTGATATTTAAGTCATTTGTTCCCATTGTGGTTTGATTGTGTCCAGCTTGGTACTGTACAATTCCATGTGTGTGTTTAATGTGTAGGTGTTGCTGTAGTGTTTTCCCTCCCTAAACACAGATGCAAGTAAACACAGATGATCAAAATCTGCCTACAGTTGTGTACCCTCTCTAAGCATGAGAGATGCAGTTACCTATGACACTGAATGAAGCTGTGGCCTCCTTTAGTTTATTGAATCACTGTCCATTGGGGTTGGGTCATTCCTCTGTAGGTGCTCTGCCTCATTATTGTTCTCCTGGTCAGTCAGACTTTCCTTTCTTACATTCCAGCATTGTTTTTTTCACTTGTGGATTTTACCAGTTGACCTGCTCAGTGTACCGCTCCATGCTTGTCTTTTCTCTTCTTAATGAAACTATTAATAAAAAATTGTTGCTCTTTCATGAAACCCTCTTAAGCCCGAGTTATCTGCTCTCACGGTTTGCTTGGAGAAATGTAACTTTGTTCTCCGTTCATCCACCGAACAGAGTCAGGAAGATGGCAGAAATCTGGCGTCGCCAAAAATCACTGAAACGAAACACATTTAACGATGGATTACTTTTAATACGCAGCCGCTGGATATGTTTAGTCTGTTTTTATCATTTCTCTGAACTACGTTCACAACAAGCATCATGTACGGGAAAGAAAAAAGAATGATAAGAAATATCAGTTGAAACCCAGTGCTTAATAAAGAAAAAAAAATGGAGCAAAGAGCGAATGTATTGGCCGAGATCAGTCCGATCAACAGCGAGGGTTTTCTCGGTGCTTCACGAGTGCTTCCCTTCGAAGTAGGTCTGTTCTATGCGTCTGCAGAATGACAGCAGGTTGCTGTAGCTCTTGATCCTCTCTGCCAGCTCGTTGTTGGTCAGCCTGGTGGTTAGTATGGTGAAGAGGTGACCGAATACCAACGCGTCCAGCTCAGTAGGCCTGCAACACACGGACAACGACAAACTCTTTAATCCATTTAGTGGCATGTTAGTTATTAATATTATTTATTAAAAAACTCCAGACACCAGGGACGCTGACAACAGACATTTCATCCCAGTTCTCAGACAGACAGTGGATTTGTCTAATAGACAAATGGCGGAGTTGGAAGTGAAAGCGATGAAGATGCTGAGATTTTCGGACATAAAATTAGCAGATCTCAGATGGTTCGGACATGCGTTGAAAAGAGATGACTTAAACCAGTACTTCTCAAATAGTGGGGCGTGCCCGGCTGGGGAGGCGTGAGGGGCTTCCAATGGAATATGACACGCTGGACATAAGTGTACCACTGCTGTAATGCTTGAATGATAACAAGCCTCCAGCCACTAGGTGGCAGCAACTCATACAGTGGTTTGTACAGATAAAAATTGAACTGATCAATGGAACATACGTACTGTTTAGCAAAGAAGTATGTCTGTGTCCCCAGTCTTTGCGACAGAGCCTGAAAGCACTGACTTACATCTTCATAAACCTGAAACAAAAACCTCCATTTAGTGGCAGGAAATAAAAACTAGGGTGAAGTGCATGAACGCTGGATATTCCGGAACGATCTCACCTTCTCCAGGGTTTTTCCTCCCCAGCCGATGGCGTTCATCTTCCTACGAACCTCCCACTGCTTCTGAAAGGCCAGAATGTTATTCAGGGGCCATGAGTAGGGACTGCTGTACCTGGGACGGGAAATCTGCAGGAATAAAGTTTGTGTTACTGAAAGCGCATTGTTGAAGTTCAGTTGTTGCTGTTGCCACGGAGACTGCATTATAATGAAATATTTACAATTCAGCTAAATGAGCATCAATGGGTTTTCACTCCGTCTGCTCATCCTACATGGATATGCTCCATTAGCAGCACATGCAGTTAATGAAAGATGGATGTTGCTGTTTTAGTTGCAGTACCGTGGCTGGCAAGGGGGTGCTGCTAATGACACATCCAAAATGAAATACTTTTTTATGTAATGTTTCAGTGTCATTCGCAACATTTGCTCTTCAACCTCGTCCTATTAATTTAAATACTTAAGCACAACACAAATACATTTGACAATGTTAGTCACGTTAGTCGAAAAAACGCGGCGTCCGTTTTTTGGGCCACGGACCATATGTTTGACACCCTGTCATAAAAATGACAGTAGCGGATAGGCTAGCATTTAGCATGAACGCCTTTAAGAATCATGTGGGAGTCCAAGCTCACCTCAGTAGCCGTAGCATCGTCACACCACTGGACATACAACTGTGAAGGAATAAACAGCATGTGCTTCGGTAAACGGATCTCATACATATGTTAACTGTAGTTACACGTGACCATTATATGTGTGTATCTGTATGTATACCTCAGCAGTGAGGAGCATGTTGTTAACCAGCTCCATGTACGCTTTCATCTCAGCTCTTTGGACGTCATCCAGTCCAGCACTCAGAGAATGGCCCTGTAAAGTCCAAACACCATAACGCCACCCGAGGCTTTTAGCAATAGCTACAAAGAAGTGGGTTTCAGATCACGATGCGAATGGAGCGGCCAAGTCAAAGCCCAGACCATAATGAGTTATTTACAATAAACCACTTCCTTAGTCTTTACGTGAATGCATTTACTTTAAGAAATGTCATGTAAATACAAACATTTTTTTCATGCCTAGATCATTTATCTGAGACTGATGAAGTCAGTAAGTTCAACATAATCATAACGTATAGTGTTGGATACCTTCGCTTTAGTAAACTGAACAATTGGCCCAAGTTCTGACACCACCTGGTTTCCAACATGGATGAAAGGGATCTTGCCTGCAATAAAAAAAAAAACATAGTAAATAATAATTTTTGCATCTACAGTAATAAAAAAACCCCATGTTGTTTATGTATTTAATAATACTTTTTATTGATCACACATTGTCTACGAAAGTTTTCAGTCATCGTATACAGGGCTAATAGACTGTCCTGTCTTCTTAGAGATGTTTCACCTCTCATCTTGATACTCAACTGCTTTGGCCGGAACAAAAAATAAATTGTATTGTCAAAAGGTAAAAACTGCTCTTGAAAAATTGTTTTGGCTTTCATTCAGAGGAAAGACTGGGTTGACCTCCATGAAAGGGTTTTTTCATGTGGATAAAAACAACACTGAATGACATGAGAGAAGAAAATTCCACTGCAGCAGTAGCAGAAGCATTTATACTGACCTGATGGTGACATGTATTCAGCATTTGCTCTGCAAACCACCTGCACTGGTAAACCACACATTCTGAGGAAGGCCTGCACAGATGAGAACAGCCGGAGTGAAACAAAAACAATGGCTTAAAACAGATTGGAAAGAACACCCACACTAAAACATTACCTGAACAGCAAGAGATGACGCGCAGTCTGAGAGTAGAATTTGATCCTCTGAAAAAAAAAAAAAAAAGTTTTTAATTGATAAACACATTGAAATGTCAATTCTTTTCTGTTCATGTCAGAGTCCGTTACTTACCCCTCAGTGGTTGATATAGGGTTGCATTTTCTGGCCATGGCTCAGCAGCTGTCGCAGTTTAAAAAAAATAGAAAAGATAATCACAATCATAAATAACTGTAAACTATAAACTGTAAAGTGTAACAGTTTTACAAACGTTTTTATTTGTAATGTTTTGTGAAGCTTCTAAACCGTCGACGGGTGTGTTGTCTTAATATATTTAGTATCATATGAGTATTTTATATTTGAAGTACGTAATAAAGACATTTTGGTGAGTTTAAGGTGTGTTTGACGTCTCCAAAATTACACGAGGGAGCACTTTGATACATGGGCTGAGAAGGTCGTCTCTGTACTGTTCAAGATTTGAGGTCAAACGTCTTGTGCCGCCGAATGTTCTAGAAATAAACGGTTTAATTCACATTGTACATCAACGCTGCTCTCGTTGGCGCCTCTTACATGTGTAAGTCATGTTATGTGTTTGTAGTAACCGGGGCAGCAACAAGAAGCCACTCTACGGCATAAATGTCAGCACCCCGTGTTAGCCCAGAAGCTAAGTCAGACAAATGCTACATAAACAATAACAAATTAAAAGATACTGACCTGCAATCTGCGACATGAAAGCCTCCGTAGCAAGAGACATGTTGCGGCTTCTGCCAGAATATCCTTATCGTGGGAAAACAGTGCACAAATTGAATGCTAGGTCAATCCCACAGCAGCAATTTTAGGGACAAATGTTACTACAGCTGTGGAATTGGTCCCCCTCGATTTTAGGTCCGTGCGGAAACTCTTCCCTTTCGCTGTTCCGACTTTGACATGACTACAAATAATTCAAGCCTTGCTTGCGCTGACAATAAGGGAAACTGACGACGTCGACACAATAAACTATGATTAAAAACGGATTACCAGAAACTGGCGACTTCTAATTAAAAATGAACACATTATATTTGCTGGGTATTTATTTTAAATATAGCATTTCTTTAGCAAATGCAAACAATACGCTTCAAAATTTTGCTTTAAGCATGAACAAACTAACTCTTTTATTGGCACTTGAATGCAATAGCACTGACCGTTATTAACCAATTGGCACTTGAATGCAATAGCACTGACTGTTATTAACCATCTTTTCCAAAGTCTTGCCATACATTCTGGAAAATAGTTGGAGTGAATAATAACCTAGGTTCTGTGAAAACTATCAAATATGGAACTATTCGTAATGAGAGAATTACTTAAAAGGGAAAACATTTATATCTTGCCCAGTACCGCTGTAGTATAGGAGCCAGTTTATATTGGCTGCTACTGCCATCTATTGGTGAGACTGTGTAACATGGTGGAGGAAAAAACCCGCAGGAGTAGAACCTTATTTTGTCGTGAAAACGCGAAACGTGAAAAGCTCTAATATAAGATGTCAAAACCAGAGGGGTCCCACTCCTGACCATCATCATGTGACATATAGGTTAAGTAACTAGCAACATTAACTCGTCCATTTGCAGCTTCTCTTGTATATTCTGATCCTTGTATTTCGTTGTATAGTGCGACCTTAGGTTATGTACTTATATAACAGGAAAGTAGATCACTTAAGATAAGAAATGATGAGGTGATACTGAGTGACTGTTCAGTGTGGTTATGTAGGAATGATCTTACAAAATCTAATACATTTTATTTATTTAAATGAACCATTAAATGTCTGAAATAGAAATCACTTGCAAATGCATCATTTGCTCTAGCGTGTGCGGACTATTTTCGCTAGATGGCAGCCTTGCTCATTGTATTTTCTGTGTAGTTCAAGTACGTCAGTGAGTGAGGTCATTACGTTACCTACGCTTTTATGATGTGTACGTCTGTTATTGTCTCTACAAATACCTGAGGAGTCAGAGATTCACTTTCAGTCTGGTCAAATAATGTTTAAAATCTTGCCATGTTATTATTCTTTTTTTAAATATGTCCAGAGAGGCTAAAGGACAAGACTGAGTCACGTTGTGCCTAATTACCCAAACCCAAAATGGAGGAGATTCGCGCCGCCATGCTTAACAACCAATAATAAATGGCCGTTGGTTAGCTAAAGTCACATTTTGGTTTACAAAATAATAATGATAATAAAATAAAAAAGCATAACGCTAGACTATGACATTAAAACTATGCAAATAATCGGTAATCATAACAGAAACGTGTATTGACACAAATTATATACATATTTTAGAAATCCTCAAGATTAAATTCGTCAAAAAGAAATGGCGTAGAACCATGACTGTCCATATATAATGACGCTTTCAACGTATCTGGTGATCTTAGTGGTTGTTTGGTGAGCTGGTTGAGTAATGTTGGCCACTTCCCTCCACATTTCACCACTCCACAGCCGGAAATTTCCAATTAATGACTTCCTCTGTATCCAACACACGACCCTGGAGTCTGGCGTGCTGCTCGAATCTCACTCTTACCCTTCAACGCCATTCACCTGGACATTTACTCCGTGTGCTTAAAATACTGACCATCACGAGGTTATACTGGGCCATAACCGACCTAAAATAAATATTTTACGAATTCAATTTGAGGCTAAAATGTAGCTATAGCCTTAAAACAAAAGGCTGCATTAGGAGTATCGAGTCTTGGAAGAAAATAATAATAAAAAAAAACACACTCGCACAGAACACAGTTCTTTCTCTTTCTGTCTCCCTCTCTTCACAATGCTAAAAACATTGTCTTGGAAAAAAAAAAAACTGGACAGCAACACTTTGTGTGTGTTCGTGTGTGTGTGTGTGTGTGAGTGAAAGGAAACAAACGCGCTGTTCACATTTTGCAGCTTTTTTATTAATAAAAACATTCGGTCGGTATTTTTAACAAACACTTTTTTTTTTCTCGTAAAACGCTCTTCATACAAAAACGAGTGATGCATCTCCTTCTAATGGTAATATAATATGTATCTAAATAACACACATAATAGTAATAAGTACTGCTGTAGTCTAGAAATACAAAACGATAGCATACCAAAACTGTATTGCAACAAAGAACTGTTTTAATGCAACGTGAGTCATAAACCCCTCGTGCGGGATTATTCGACAACCTTTAAAAGTATTTGTAACCCTGAGAAAATATGTCGGCCTTACAATCAGAATCGTACATATGAAGGATATTTGTTTTTAATTTTCCCCTAAAAATACTGATTTTATTTTACGAAAATAAATGGCTTCGTGTCCTAATATCTGTCTACCGAGAACTTCTATTTACTCAAAAAAAAAAAAAAAAATACAATTCTCCTACCGTTTTGCGATTTGGCAGTTTGCTGTTTTTGGTCGTTTGTTACATTCTGTGCAATAATAAAGGTCAATAATACCATCACGTTTTAAAGGTAGCTACACTAAACACAAACCCTGCATTAGGTTTACCCTGTAGAAATAAAACCCTGTTTTCATAGACACTTTCTGCCATCCAAGCCCAAGTATCTGTACGTGGAACAATTGCACCAG